ACTTGAGCTCAAGCTTGAATCACCTTGCTCAATGCCATACTTGTCCTATATATAAAAATATATGAATGAGAGATAATTTTCTACTATATTATGAGTAAAGTGAGAGTAAGAACAATTACATTATTATCATTTGATATTAAGATTGAGTTATTTCAGAAGGGGTAACAGATTGGAGCCTTTGTGGGGGAAACGAAAAACTTAAGAATTGTAACATAAGAGAAAATAGAGGCTCCTAAATCAAAAGGATCCGAGTTCTGAATGACTTCATGATGATCAGGAGATTTCCAAGCAAGATTCTGAATCATAAATAATCCAAAAGCCTACCAGGCATCACGCCTAGACATCAAATGGTCTCTTTATTTCAACTTAATTGTTGCCTTTCAAAAGCCAATATAACTCAAGCACACAACTAAATGACAATCTGGTAGAGCTGTGTACTGCAACTTTATTGTTGTTCCTTGACAGAGGAGAAAAGTATTCAACAACCACTAAATTGACAATCCATGGTAGAGCAGTGTGCATTGCAAATTCATTGTTCTCTCCCTAACAGAAGAAAAACGTATGCAACAACCAGAAAATTAAGAATTTAGTACCACAACAACGTGGTTCAATTAATTAAACCGCAAAACCAAGCTCCAGGGGCCAATGCCAGCACAAGTAGTAGATTTGCACAATTATCTTGAGAATCTAGTAGAAAGGTAGGCATTACAGAAGGATACATGTTCTCAGATTCTGATAATGGATCAAGTTCAACGCATGCTACAACCCAAAAAGCCTTGGGTGTTCATCCTGCAATAGAGGAGTTTTCAGCCCAAATAGTGGAAATGGACCTTGCTTCCTGTTTTTGCCCAAAATTCTTCGATTGTGTTTAACTTTTCCAGTAGCCATATTGAATGAAATTCCAAGTAAAAAGGGGAGCTTAATTTAGTTTTTTTAAAACTTATTCATGATTTCCTTAATTTAAGGAATTGAAGTTATTTCCTAGACTTTTATTGTTGTTTAAGTGATGTTTGGGTTTTCTAGTGATGTTTGGGTTTCCTAAGTTTAGACTTTTCAGCTTTCTATGGGAAGGTTGTTCCAAGTCATTTAAACACCATTTTCAGATTGTATTAGGGGACTAGTTTATTGAATGAATTTCAATACCTTTTGAGTGTTTTATCCCAAAATTCTTATCTCTTTGGTGGATTTCCAAGAGTGGTGAATTTTTACCTTGTATTATGTATCTTAGAGTGGTGGTTCTATATTTCTAAGTGGTGATTAATTTTTAAATTATCTTGTTCTTTTCTGTTTAGTCCTTGTTATTGGAACTTCCCTTATTCCTCCACTCAACAACCATATCAGTTTGGTATCAAAGCCTGAGTTCTTGTTATAGCTTTAATTATGGCTAGAAAGGACATCCCATCGAATATCAAGAAGATGAAAGTTGAGATCCTGACATAGAATGGTTGAGTTGAGGAGAGTTGTGGAACAACTTCAACAACACCTATAACAATATGGAGGTCGAGCCCTACCAAGGCACTAAGAACGTGGAGATGAATCAGGTTTTAATCCTTTTCCACAATCAGGATGAATCTAGTGATGAATGTATTTTGCATCAAATACAAAGAAACCGATCAAGAAGACGAGAGGGAAATGTGAAGGTTGATATCCTCGGTTTTGATGGGCATGCTCAAGGAGATACTTTCCTTGATTGGTTGTTCACAGTGGAGCATATCTTCTGTTAAAATATGTGTCCTAGAGTCAATTAATTATTGTAATATTGACTCTTTGTAAGAATATTTATTTATCAATAAAAGGTTTTTTCTTCTATATCATATAATTCATAATTGTATGTATTGATATATGTCCTTAGGATGGTAGAACCGTGACGAGGGTATTGAGTTTTTAAAATTTTGATAGTGAGAACTCTATGATCACATATGGTGACCATTCTAGAAATATCCGTAGCCCCAATATTATTCTGACAAAGGACACATATAATACGGTAAGACTATCATAATGTTGAACAACTCTGTCGTAAGGCAGTGACTGATCTCACTTGTCAAGGTTGTTTGTCGATAACCTGATGCAACACATGAGTGCTTGTCATAGGCGAGTTCACCGGACAGACCCACCAAAGGATTCCACATAGATGATAATCCCAATGTTTATGGAATAGATCCTCTAATGAATGGTGTTGCATGTGATCTTAGACTTGAGATCACTAGAGCGCCTTGTGCACCAATTGATATGGTTTGACACTAGTCCAACGTAATTCTACTCTGAACTATTAGAACGGTAGTGATTAGCTACATAGAGAAGTGTATCGAGACTATAGTGGATCGACAGAGGATTCATCACTCCCGGTATAGGAGAAATTATCTCACTGAGTAATTCAGTAGATAGCAATGACATTAAATCATGGCCACAGTGGGATTGAGTTGTAGCTCAATTCAATCTATTTCGGTCGTTGGTCCAATAACTAAATACCAAGATATCAAGGATATTAGAGGTTGACACTATTTCTGTGCCTTGGACTTGATGAGATAATAGATGATGAAAAGATTAAATTGTACAGTAACCGTATCGTTGATAGGTAGCGGTTTCGCTAAATCCGAATCTATCAGGTGGCCATGATGTTTGGTTAGAGGTCAATCTTGGTCTGTGTCTAGTGGGACGATTGATTGATTGTCAATCGCGATATGATTCACTGTCAATATGATGAGGAGCCTTCAGGTCGCATATATAGAAAACAGATTAAGAATAAAATAAGTGAGAGGGGCATTTTCGTCATTTAAGATGAAAAGGTATTTTAGTAATCTCACCATACAATTAAATTTGCTAAGGTTGTTGCCTACATTTAATTTCATATGGAAATTAAATTAGTAGGATTATATATTTAAAAATTTAGTTTAAATATAAATGTGTGTGTATGTATCTATTTATATACAATTTAATATTAATATTGATAATGTGGAATTTAAATTTGATTTTAAATTTGAATTGAAATGTCTTGTTAGGTAACAAAGGGAATCTATTCCAAATTAGGAATAAATTGTTAGCTATTCCAAGTTGGAATAGGGTTTTAGTGTGCACTATTTAAGTGTCACTAAAATTAAATGAATGTGTGAATTCTAAAACATTGAAAAAGCCTAACCACCCCCCTCTCTCTCCCTCTCTCAAACGTAAGCCTCCTTTGTGAGAGAATGAATTTTTCTCCTAAGGAAAAATTCTGTAAAAAATATTTTTAAAGTTGTGAGATTTTGTTAGTTTATAAAATCTCTCAATGACATATATCATATCTTTGAATGGATATCACGAGTGCATTTCTATTTTGAAGAGACAACGATCCTAACTCCAAATCAAATGAGTCTTCAATACTGATATGAAACTTTACATCTTTTAATTTGATTGTTATGATAAAATAATGTAAATCGAGATAGGGATTTTGGTTTAAAGGTTTGCGGATCTTTAAAATTTTAATTTTCGTTGCGTTTAACAGATCTGTAAACTTGTATCTTTGATTTCAAAGGATACTCGAAGGAGAGGAAAGTGAAATTGGTGGCCATTAAGAAAGCAATATTTTTTGTTATGTGATTGGTTGCACATTCATGTATCTATGTTTTCCCATAGGTAACCTAGGGGCTAGGTGGGAAACTATCTTGACCGTCTTTTTTTGCCACGTGGCGTTGATCAACCTGGGTAGGGTAACCTCCGATTTGAAAAGCAAGACGTCAGCTTATCACTTTATTCGGCGTGACTATCCATCTAACAAGGCATTAAATGTATCGATGTGACCCTTTACATTTCCATTAAAGATTCTAGCAATGCCCTTGGATGTATTTATTCTTCATTGAGAACCAACAACACCAAATTCTTCTAAGTCTTTGGTACATCGTCGAACGAAACATATTTGGTTCAAAGCGAAGGCTCGTCCCAACACATCAGTTCGTCATCAAAAGGTCACCTAGACTCACATGCAAACCTCGTGATGAAATGAGCCAATCAATAAGAATAAGCTCGCAACTACAGCTTTGATGAAACTAATCGAACCCCAATTCGCAAGCCAGCCTAGTCCGACAGTAACTCACACATTGATAGCTCATCTAGAGGAGCTCATAGTTTTTTAAGCTTGCCATGACCTCCAAAATTTGAAAGACAATTGTTGTGCGAGGATACACGATCAACTTGGAGTTAGCAGTAGCTCGAAATAAATAGTAAAACAATTAGACTAAAGCGGGTTGTTGGACAGTTATTTTTTAAATCATGAATAAGCATTATATTATAAAATCAAGGAGAAGATTGCGAGAACACTTCCTACAATTTCGGCCACATAATTATACCATGAATCATGGGATTAACTCCCGAAAATCATACTCTTATCCCTAAAATTTCTCTTGTAATTGTTGCAACTTCATTGTATAAAAACAAAAAAATATATATCATTGTAAAAGGGTTAAAAAATCTTGAGGGTCAAACTATTTTAAAAATCTTCTTTGTTTCTTTTTCTTACAATTTCATTTATCCTTTGTTGATTATTATTTATCATACTCATATTTTATCCAATTCCTCTAAAGTCAATTGAGTATAACGGGTTGTTGCAGGTTTTTGTAACAATATAGTCTTTATTAGTAGAGTAATTAATTTTTTAGTTGCATTTGTTACTATTCAAAACCCTTTCCTGTGATTGTATTTTTCTCAAACCTTGAAAAAGAAATTGTCGTTAATCCAATCTTGGAATAATGACACCTCCACTCTCTTTTGTCACAATGGTAGTTAATCAGTTGATAACATGGATTTTACGTATTCAACCCTTCTTTTTGGGCTTCAGTAGATGGTCTTAATCCATTAGTCCATTGGATTCATTTTAGGCCCGTAGACCTTATATAACTTACAAATCTTTGGGCCAGCTTACTTTAATTTATACCGATAAGAAAATAAACTCAGGAATTTTATAAGGGAAAAAATATGATGAGTATATAATTTATTTATAATTATACTATTAATCATTAACTTTATTTCTTGCTAATTGATTAATAAATTTAGAATTTTTATTCGTCAAACAATTTGAAGTTAAAATATGCAGCTTAAAACTGTAATGCAGATGCAAGAACTGTTTTCTGTATCGCGTTTTCAACGTGGCTACTGGCTGAGTCCAACTCTCAAGTTCCATAGTGAGTAAGGTGTTCGATCAAATTCCCCAATGAAAGGATTTATGTTTTCTTTCAACTTTCTGCCTTAGTATTGTCATGACTTAAAATCTATAAAACCTTTTTCTCATTTTATTTACAGATTTCAGAAGAATGGCGGCGTTCTCATATTGTCAGTCTGTTCAATATCTGAGAGTTTCTTCGAAAACCCATCTCTTGTTTTCTAGAGGCAGAGATACCCAGAAGAAGACCAACGCTCTAGTGTTAGCTTCTACAAACAAATCAGATAATAATCTCCCTCTTCATTCAAAGGTGCTACAATGTTACTTTCCTTTAACCTTAAAATTCTTTATCAACTGCTTTTGTTCACTTAGATTTCATTTTAGATCAAGGGGCATAGCATAAGCATTGAGCAACCCTTTTGTGCATTTCTATCTAGTGTTGAACCCGGGATGCTTGAAAGTTCTCTGTTAGTAAGTGTATATTTTTCGAGTCCACTGCTCAAAACTATGGGAGCCGTTAGAACTCAAGCCCAAGAGAGGGCCTAACCCAAAAGACCGGTTTCATAGGTGGTAGAACCCCTAGGCTTAAGTACTACACTTGGTGGGTGTGAGATCCCAATGTGGGATTCTAACATTGCACCCCCTTCAAAAGCCAACGTCCACGGTGGCTTTCAGTCTATCGACACTAACCCGATGGTAGCCCCCTTTGGACGGCTTCACTCCCCTATCAGTTATTCGATGCAAAACCCCCTCTCAAGGAGAGCACATTGCATTTTAATCTAGCCTATAAGTAGCCCTTTCTGCAGCCCAACTCTTAACGAGAGCACCAATGTTAGAATTCAAACCTACGAGAGAGTCCAATCCAAAAGACCAGTCGGATGGATAGGAGAGCCCCTAGGCTTAAGTACCACACTTGGTGGGTGTGAAATCCCTATGTTATGGAATCCTAACACACTCTTGGAGCTAGATGCTCTCTTTATTAGTTATGGCTCGGAATGTGTTGGAATTCTGTAACTTAAAGTAACTTAAATTTTTGACTCACAATTTGCGAGTCTTCATTTATCTCAATGGTGTTGAGGGGAGCTGGGAGTTATGCCAACTCAACAATGTAATATAATTTGATTTGAGATAAATGGATGACTTACGTATTGCATCAAAAAAATAAATAAATAAATAAGTCACCAAATTTAAGTTACGGTATCCTGACTCTATAGTTATTCTTGAGCACCTATAATACAATTTGTTAGTGCACCTAGAGGTTAAAAGATCTTTGCACGAGAATTATCTTAAACCAAGAGTTTTTAGCCAACACAAATATACATTTTCTTATGTAAGATATAATTTGTAATTTCTCATGTGCATATCTAACAATTTTTTCTAGTTTCATGTATGTAAGTATTTATGCAGAAATAGTGCGTCATTATCATTTCTTTCTTATCCTTTTGGATTGAAGTGAATAGTATGGAATATGTTTATATAAGTGATTTTCATTGCTTGCAACTCTCACTTTATAATTCAAAATAAGAGAACAGTTTCTGATTTGAAGATTTGCGTCACTACTTTTCTATCAGCTTACAATCTTTGCTCTTATAAACAAATTGCCAGCTATATTTTCCTTCATATATACTTCAAATATATTCAGAATTAGGTAGGAGCCTCTAGTCAGAGAAATGCTGCATTTGAACTGGATTTTTTTCTTATGCTTTTAATTTTACCGTCTCTCAAGTTATCATGATTGCACGTGTTAATTTCAAAATCGTCTTTCTGATTTCGCTTGACTTCTGCTTGATTTTGCTTGACTTTGCACCTTGGGTGTAATAACTTGTTAAGATGATATATAAATAAGATTTACGGTTGAACAAGTTAGCTTACACTTTAGTCTTGTTATTTCGACATCAAAGAGGTAGTTGTATAGTACCACCTTCGTTAATGATAAATTTACTAAAAGTAGAAAGCATTCTCTATCACCCATCTCACTTGCAGTTTTCTTCTCCATTTTTCTTATAGCAGCGAGTTTTTTCTTTATTCTTTATTCAGGTTTGTAATTTTGCCTTACACTGCAAAGTAGAATGTCTAACAGTGAAATTATAGGTCCGGAAGTTGCTTGACAGTATAAAATGGGATGACAAAGGTTTAGCAGTGGCTATAGCTCAAAATGTTGACACAGGAGCTATATTAATGCAAGGCTTTGTCAACAGGGATGCTCTAGCTACAACCATCTCCTCACGGAAGGCAAAATTTTACAGCCGGTCAAGGTCAACATTGTGGACAAAGGGAGAGACCTCTAAGAATTTTATAAATGTTCATGACATCTTTCTTGATTGTGATCGTGACTCTGTAAGTTTATGACATGCAGTTCTAATGCATTAGCCATTTGTTTGCTCTTCTCGGATATCTTTTAACTCGGACTCTTCTCCAGGTAATATATCTTGGGAAGCCTGATGGACCTACCTGCCACCCAGGGTTAGAAACTTGCTACTATACATCAGTTTCTGATCTTCTAAGTGACAAACAGGTTCTCAGCTTAAGTTTTTCGTAAACTATGGCAAATTTTTTTGCCCCTTCAGATAAACTATTAGTATGTTTTAATGAATTTGATAATCTATGGCAGGTTGAAGGAAATAGGTTGGCATTGACAACTTTGTACTCGTTGGAGACTACAATTTCCCGGCGGAAAATGGAATTAGCAGCGCCAGAAAGTGGAAAACCCTCTTGGACTAAAAGATTATTACTAGATCCCAATTTGCTGTGCTAAAAAATTCGGTAATATAGTCGTAACGTCAAATTGTTGGTATGGTAAATAAATAATTTTCAGTTGGAAAAAAAGTCCTGAAGAACTAGTAGAAGATTAAAAGCAGTAGTCTATGCAGTTTTGTTTCATCACCTTGCAAGAGTGTCATTAGGGCAGTTTAACATGTATAGCATTTTAATTTTAGATACTTACATCTTTGGTACCTCCTCTACAGAGAAGAAGCAGATGAGTTATGTCGAACAATGGAGGAGAACGAGGATAAGTCACGTACTGCCTCAGAGATGGCATATGTGCTGTATCATGCCATGGTTCTGGTGGCACTCAAAGATGTAAAAGCCAAGGATGTCCTAGAAGTTCTCCGCAAGAGATTTTCAGAGTCAGGCATTGAGGAAAAGAGCAGTCGTACGTCACAAAGCTAGGCATGGAGTGTAGCTGTCACCAGGGAAATTATCATGATAATTTGGTATGCTTTTTCAAGAATAATACTGCATGATCATGAACATCATGCCATATCCTCGTTTTTTTTTTTTTTTTTTTTTATGTAATTTGGTGCTGAACTTGTGATATAATTTAGGGTGGTAATTGATTGAAAAAGACATAGTTGCCACAAACAAATCAATTTCACAAAAGTGAGGGGCATTAATTGATAAAACCACAAACTTAAAAAGTCGAATCTTAAAAAGTGAGGGGCATTAATAGATATTAAGCGCATACATTTGCCCAAGAGCACAGAACAACTGTTAATTTGAGTTAATTCTGATTGCTAAACATTAAACAGACTATGGCAATACATGTTACAGTGAATGAAGCAACTGACACTAAATACTTGACAATTACATGCTCTTTTGAGTGATCTACAAAATTTTGGTCATTCAATAATTATTGATTTTATATTAATGCTGACAAATCTTCAATTACCTGCCATATAAACTCTCCAAACTCAACTTTGGGATTGAATGATTCAGAAGAATGAAAATGCAAAGATTTGCCTCCAATTTTCTGAGTTGTGTCAGCCGAAACCTTTAAAGCCACGTAGAACCAATCAAATTAGCTAAAAGGCTGAATAAACAAAGAAAAATCAATAGAACTATCCTCAAAAGAAATTCAAACAATTGTTTTTCAGACAAAGTAAATATTACAACTAACGTATAATATTTTAACCCCTTCCATAACATCACAAGATGAGATTATATTTCTATTGAGAAAGAAAGAAACAAAAGAAAGAAGCAGATAAGGCAACATGCAGAGTAACTAGCTTCAGAATAAATGCAAATTATAATTGAGATGCCTCATTACCAGAAACCTTACCCTTTTCCTTGCCTTGTGATGAATTTTGTGTATGAAAAAAAAATCTATCTAATCATTTCTTCCTTTCTGGTTGACTCATATTTGGTGAATCATAATGACGGAGAGAATCAAGACTGGTATGGAAACATAAATAGAATCCAATTCAGGGAAAAGATCTTATTAACAGTAGCTACAAATAAAGCAACTGAAGTCAAAATGATAATCTTACCTGCAATTGTATGGGACCCTCCAGGACAAAATCAATGAACTTTTCAAAGTTGGAGGTAAAGATAAATAACTTTTCCAATCCTGAAGCATAATTCTGATATCTTGAAGTTTGCTATCCAAACCATAGCAGCAATTTGCATGCATTGTACAAACTACACTAAAATCTTCACTAGGTTCACATAGCCCACCAAAATAAGAAGTATCCAAGAATTTCATCTTCAGTCCAATATCTGTAACTAAAGGATGAAACTTGATATTGTTTAGGACATCTTGATCATGAGATCCAGGATAAGTTTCCCTCGAAGAGTACCAGAATTTGTAAAACTCTATGGACCGATTATTGGACTTTACATGGTTGAATCCTCCATTGGCTCTGTTTTGTAGATCATCAGAGGTCCCTAGAAAGTAATCGCACGCAATCTCGAAATCAGCATCTGAATAAAATCGTAGAAATGGATTTCTGAACCACATGACATCAGCATCCTGTTGAAGAAATTAACCAAAAGGAAAAATGAATACTTTGTAAAAAGTAACATGTGCGTACTGGATTTGACTATAAGATATATAAGGGTATTGAAACAAGAGATCAGGTTCATATATTTAGATAAAAGTAATAAAACACTCTAGCAATTAAAATTATTGGAAACTCTAATGGTTAGTACCAGGCATCCTGCTCTGAATTTCTCGGAAGATCATAAATAACATTATCAAAACAAAGCATATTCCTGTCAGGAGAAACTCAAGCAATTAGGAACTCAAGTTTCTGTTTCCTATCAAACTGGGACTCTGAAGCCAAATGCAGCCTTGATATCATTATAAAGCTAACAAATATTTTCTCTCATCAATTTTATCAACTGCTCCTATCAAAGATCTTTAGCACCGGAGAAAGCTCGATGACTCCTAAATTATGACAAAAAGGATCGATAATAATCTTGATAAATTTCTGCTAGGCATATTATCCTTCCTTGCATACTTTTCCCTTTTTTAGCCTTTCCCTTTTCAAGAGAAAGCAATTTAATACTAAAGATATATAATGAGGAGAAAAAAAAAAGGAACATTTAACACAAGGCAAAACAAATCAAAGTGTAATACTGCAACTGCATTTAAGTTTGTGAATGCGAAGCAGAATTAAAAATATACAGTACTTTCAGAACAAAAATGCTTGATGCAATTATCTAGTTGAACTTTCCGATCGCATAAAGATAACACTTCTAAGGTGTCAAAAAAGGGTATCAAATATCATTGTATACAGATGTTGAGGAAATAATTCACGGGACACAGTTCTAGTAAAAGCTTAATGGCTTGTTTTCAGATTCAGCAATTAGTCTGAGGTCAAGAAGGTTTAAAAGTTTGTATATAACATAAGATCCATGAACCTCAGGCCATTTCATGGAATTTGATATTTCAAAAAGAAAAAGCTTTCTTTGAACCCTGAAAACAGTGCCAAGAAAAATAGCAGAAACCACTACCCACTTACCAGCCTTAAAAAGAGAAGGCGTTTTCATCAATTTAAAATATTAGAAATACTGTTAATTCATCAGAGCATTGGTTTATAAGAAGCCTCCTCTAACAGACTAATCCACTATAAACATTCATCTCCAAACTAAAACTGGTGTTATCTATTTATTTCTGTAAACTGATGATACTAGGTTTATGCACTTCTTTATTTCAGACAGAAAAAGAGAAAAATGTTACCGTGAAGACGAAATTGTACCCCATCTCAAGAACAGTGCGTAGGAAATCAATCCTTCTCCACATCATCTTCAAATAATCAGGAGTCATAAAGTATGCCTCCTGATGAAAATCCACTCCATCAGTAACAAGAGCAAAGCAATGCCTATGAACAACCAAACAACGTCTAAACGCTTTTTGATCATAAGCAATAATCACCAAGTGATTCAAAAGTCTTCGCGTCCCGTATCCAATTCGAAAGCTCTCAAGGAAAAGATCAAGGACTGAATTAGGAGCTGCCCATGCTTCGTTCAAAGTTGTTAATATCACAGTGTTGTCTTCCATGGCAGCATTCTTCAGAACTTTCTCAAGCCTATATTCCTCACTATCCTGCAACAAGTTTAAATAGAAAAGTAAAATAAATGAATATGCAATTAATCATTGTATTCTAAAGAATTCAACCACATCACCATAAATCAATGTGGCAGTGCTTTGGATGAAAGCATTTTCTACATGACCACTTAAAATTACTTTTCAAAAGATCACCTATGAACTGTTTTCTCAACTTAAAGTTAAAAAACGCATCACTCAAGTGCTTCTTCAAAAGAATCTACAAGTACCTTTTTCCCACCGAAACGCAAATTTGTATGATTTAGCCAAACACTTCAAAAGCACTTTCAGCTAAACGAGATCATAATCATATTAATTTCAGGGATAAATTACGAAACCTCTACAAAAGCTAAAAGCGAATGAAGCTGAACCCACTTAAATAAACCAACAAATAAAGAAACCCAGTAAGAGTTTAAAATTAATAAATAAATAAATAAAATCAGCTAAACGAAATCATGATCATTTTGATTTTCAGGGCTATATTAGGTAACCACTACAAAAGCTAAAAGCAAATGAAGCTAAACCCACTTAAATAAACTGACAAATAAAGAAACCCAGTAAGAGTTAAGATAATTACCAGAAGAGAATCGGTGTCGATAACAGAAGGGAAAATGGAAGGGAAAGCAGAGGAAGAACCGTAGACAGAAACAGGGAGGAACCGGAGAGAATCAGCAATGCTGTAGAGAATTAAACAGGAGATGAAAATACAAGCGATCAAGACAACAAGGCGTCGAGCAGGAGATTCAATCAACATATTATTATTATTATTATTATTTGCAAAAGGCTTCAGTCTCACCATCCACTGTATCGATTTTGAGTGGGTTTGTAATTGTTCACGGAATAATTGATTGTTCTTACAAAGATAGAAGTAATAACATCCCTCTCATTTTTTTCACGTTCCCTTTCAAACAAACCACGGATTTTGTGGGGACTTTATAACTTTCTTCAGGGGAAAAGCCTTTGCTCCCGTTTCAGTTACATTTTTGTTTTCAGTTTTTTTATTTCATAAAAATATTACTATCTCTGTCTGTTTCTGTTCATTCCCTTTGATAATTTTAAAAGGCAACATGAAGTAAGTAATTAATTTTATAATCCGGGTGTTTTTGTTTCATTATTGTAGGATTTTAAAAAAAAGTTAAAAGTGAGGTTGTTATTACTAAGTATGATTTAAAAATTAATAAGAATATCTCCTAAGTTAACACACCTATGATAAAAAGGTAGGGTTTTATAAAGTTTCCCCTAGGAAGTCATTTCACCCCTATATATAAATGGTTACATGGTAATGAAGTCATTTCACCCCCTATATATATATACAGACTCGGGACTTTTGTCCAGGGGGCTTCCGCGGCTTTATCATAGTTTGTCAAACAACTAGTGAAAACTTAAAAAAAAAATTACTAAACCTTAAGCAAAAAATAATAATACAATATCAATAATCTGAAAATGCAATAGCACAATACTTTATTACTTGAATAAATCTATAAGAAGCAAAACCTTGAGCAACTTATATTGAAAATAATATCCAATTCACAAGGAAATACAAGAAAATTTGTACGTAGAAAAACCTTTTCAATTAAAGAGAGCAAATGACCATAGGAATCTAACGATCCACTTAAATCCAGTATAATTAAAAGAGTTTACAACAATTACAATTTACCAAAAATATTCTACATAAATTTCTTATTTCTCCTCTTTTTTCTTCTTTTAATTTTTTTTTTTTTAAGATTATAATATAATTTTTCATGACTTTAATCATGTTTAATATAAGCTAAAGTTAACTAAAATTTAAGTTAAGTCAGCGTTGCCTTGACTTTTAATATGAATTAATAAAAAAAAGGGAAAATTTTCTTAGTATAAACATAGATAATAACTGAAACTACTTTAATAATTTTAAGCAGCCAAACTGTGACTTTTAAAATGTAGGAAAGTGGTGGATGAAGGGTTAAGAATAATGTTTAGTAAAATATAGTTAAGGTTTAATTTGAGAAAGTATGAACATTCCTAGACACAAAACACAAAACAAACTCACAAGATCTATGCTTTTTTCCATCAAATTAGAATAAAAATTTAAAAAAAAAATAAGCATGATTCAATCATAAAATAAACTAAAATGAAATAAGTAATACACATACATAAAACTGATAAAACAGAAAACGAAGTTAATTGTGGCACCTTAACTAGTAAAGGCTTCAACAATTTTAGTCTTCAAAAGTTTTAAGAACGAATAACATAGAGAAAGTGAAAGAGAGAATGAGAGAGTTAAGAATTTTAAGGATAAAACTATAAAAAATCAGGTGAACATAGAAAAGAGTAGAGAGAGTTTTAAACTTTTAATATGACGTAGACCTAATATATATAATATTTCTCATTTTTTTTAAATATAATGATAGACTTAGATATATACATTAATAAATTTTGTTATGCGCCTGTATAAGCAACTTTTTTTTTTTTAAATGTGAGGGTAGGCCAAGGGGCTAGGTTCGCCCCTGTTCCCCACCCCTCTCCACCCCGTCGCCGTTCTCCACCCCTATACACCCCATCGCCCCAAAAAACAAGTAAGAGCTAAATTTTAGAGTATCGTAGATCATTTTTTGAATGATTTATGTACTCAAATTACTCATTATCCTTTTTATAAATCTTTTCATTTATATTTTTATCCAAATATTTTGGTTTTAGAGACAAACTCTGATCATTTCTTAGAAGTTTCTTTCCTAGATTGCTGTCTATTCTCCATGCGATTTGGCGGAATCACATTTGACTAGGTGTTGATCTGGCTGAATCGCACTTGCCTCCACAGCCCACCGTCGTTCTCCACCCCTCCCCCTGTTTCTCCACCCAACAGCCCTAAAATGCAGCTAGTCGTCATCTTCTCCATACGACCGGTAATATATATATATATATATATATATATATATATATATATATATATATATTGACCTGGTATGATTAGCCTGATCGCACTTGGCTGGGTGCGATTCTAGCGAATCACATCCAACCGAATCAATTTCACTCTTAAACCCAATGTGTATCTTTTGTGTTGTGAATAATGCTTAGTGTTGTTGAATAATGGTTTGTGTGTTGTTGATTCATGTTTGGGTGGCCGAATTTAGGTTTTTGGTGTGTTTTTGTCGGATTAGTGTTGCTTGTGGTGCATTTCAAAAATACAAAAAAAAAAAAAAAAAAATGTTTGCTTGATGGTGGATTTTTGGCCGAGTAATGCTACATTTACACCATCTTTAATCATTTTTATTATACTATCATCATTTAATAATAATTATTTTATTTTTATTATAATATTAAAAATTCAAAATAATTAAAAATTTGTGTAGATGTGGGATGTGTCACATCATGGTGTAATGAAAATTGTGTAATGGGTGATGTAAATGTAACATTACTCTTTTTGATCGGATTTATGTTATTTAGTGATGGATTTGGGTTGAGCATCCATGGGTTATTTGGTGGCCTTGCCGGTGATTTGCAACAACAGTAGTCAACAACACAGCAGAAGTGTGATTCCTTGCAATTTCGGCCAACTATTTTTGTTCAGTTTAAATTTTTTTTTTTCAAACTATGGATTTGGATTTAGATTCAAATAATAAAGGATGTTTTTGTCTTGACAATGATTATACCATGTCAGATAACAAAGTTTACTAACAGATCTTAACGGTGGGTGGAAAAGTGTCGTTTTGAAACTTAAAGGGCGGGAAAGGGTTGTTTCACCAAACCTTGAGTGGGAAAATGTTGTTCTTCCTTTATTTTATTACCATAATACATTTCTTTACACAAACTTTGGGCATGTTCGTTTATGAATGTGCCCATCCCTTACCATTTTCTCTTCATCGAAATTCATAGAATTCACGTTTGTTTAGCCTTCTAGGAGAATTTGATCACAAAATTGAGAAAACGTGGGGAGATAAAAGACATATGGGCAACTTTTTATTATAAAATAGTATATTTGTAATAAAAATGATTATATTCTATTTCTATTTATATTTTTTTCATTCTCTTTCTTAAAATTAAAATTTCATTTCGAATTAAGATTTTTAACACAAAATTGTAAACGAACATCAACCGTTAACATATTTGAGATAGGATCTTCAAGATGAACAAAATAAGTGGTAATTTGAAGGGTAACTATCTATTGTGGAGATGAAAATTTTGTATTTTCATTGTGTTTTCAAACAAACATACTAAATGAATTTTCATTTTTCCCCTTTTTAAATATGTTTTTAGATAAACATACCGAACGCGTTTTCTTTTTTCGCATTTTTCTAATCATTTTCGATATTTTCAAGAAAACAAATACGGATACACAAAATTCATAAAAGAACACACCCTTCACACTTCTCCATTTCTCATCACTCTTACTCTTGCAGTGTCCGAATTTCCCAAGGGCAAATATGAAAATATATCCAAATGATTTTACTTACTCCCAAAGTAAACAATCTGTTGATACATAAACGTGCACCAACCAGAGATACGTGATTGGTAGTGTTAGAACCACGTACGATGTGTGTGTGATCCCGATGGATCAGTAATGAAACAATACGATGTTTATTGTGCAAGGATTAATATAAAATGCAAAAGAACAAAAAGACATTTTTAAGTGGTTTGGCTGCTCGTAATGTAAGGCTTACATCCATTGTTATGTTATTGAATGCGTTGAAATAGTAATTCGATTTACAAAAAGTTTGCAGTTGTCTTTTTGTGACCTAATTTTCATCCCTAAGAACAAATTACAATTGGGATTATATAGTGCCAATTACACGATTGAGTTGGAGAAAAACTCAAATTTGACTAACGAGTTCAGATCATTAATGAGAGAGCCTAGGCTAAGTTATATAACCTTGGTTGTCCCTTAACTCGTTAGACGCATTTTGGGTTGAAAAGCCTAAAGGCAAAACCTTGAGAGCTACGTGTCCAAAGCAACAATATTTGACAAGTGGGACCTTGGGTTGTAACAAATGACAACATACTTGTTTGTCAACGCGACTCTACATTATCGTCTTCGTGATGACGATTCAAAATGAAACAAACCTTGAATCCTCATGATGACAAACGATAATCTCACAAATTATCTTCTTTCTTACAAACTAAAAATCAAAACCTCACTAACAATTGTGGGATGTGAAGGAGGGAATGTGGAAGGTTTGAAGAAAAAGAGTTTAAGGAAATAAGTTGATGATAATAGATTTATATATGAAGGTTATTTTGGTCCTAATGGGTAATAAATTTTGTTGTAAGGCTATTTCTTGAGACACCTTTTTAAATAGGTTATTTTTCAATTGACACCCCCAAATAGGTTATTTAATATTAAGAAAATTATATTAAATATCTCAAATTTGGGGCCTGATTTGATAATAGCCTAGATTGAAAAATGTCTCAAAAAATAACCCTCATCACAATTTTGAAATTTCTTTGGGACCATATTAGCCAAAAATGGGTTATTGTTGGGCATTATAGGGCGCTTATCGATTTGTGACCAATAGGAGGTATAGAGCAATATGGGTTCTGGAATAGGCTAAGGATCACTATCAATGTAATTAGTTTCTTTTGTAATTGCTTTAATGATCTTGATTTTCATTGTTTTCAAGGATTGGAGAAGAATCTATCTCATGCCTGTTAGAGTTGGTGCCCTAGAGTCAATCTATTATTGTGAGTTTGACTCTGTAATAAATGTTTATTCATCAATAAAAAAGCATATCCTTTTATATCGTGTAAATTATAGTTATATGTAATGTATATGTCCTTAGAATGGTAGAACCATGACAAGAGTATCAAGTGTTTCAAATCTTGATAGTGAGAACTCTATGATCACATATGGTGGCCATTCTAGAAATGTCCATAACCCCAGTATTATTCTAATCAAGGACACAGATAATACGGTAAGGTTATCACAGCATTGAACGTCCCTGTTGAAAGGCAGTGACTGATCTCACTTGTCAAAGTTGTTTACTGACAACCTGGTGCAACGCATGGGTGCTTGC